TTCTATTTTTAGAACCATTCTATTTTTAGAACCAAACTTCACTGACGAGTTATAAATAGCTCTCTGAATGCTGTTTTGAAGTAGACTTAACAGTAATATGATGCACCCTTGCAGATAAATTTAATGAAATAATTTGTTTGAAACAACACAGAATTGTTTTTTCACCCGAAAATAAAAGCTGAAGGCAGTTTTAATCATAAACTTTAGACTCAATTCATCGTTAATAAATTTTGGCCTTGTACGTTTTTCCACACAAAAATCGGTATATCAAAATGCTTCATTGGAAACACTTGAAGCTGATTTTTTTTCTCGAATATTTATGTTTTACGCAATCGTTTGCCAAGAAGTGCTCCAATCAGGCCTGTTTTATCGTAAAATTATGTAAATATTGCCTGATAATAGTCTATAATAAAACTTCAAAGAGCTACGTCTTACAAACATTAAAGTTTTCATATTGTAAACAGGTCAGCCCTGTACGTCTGGCTGGCACATCATTTAACAAACTTCTGACAAAATCAAATAACTGAAAATGTAAGAAATACAAATTTGTATGTATAGTGAAATCATTTTGATTTGTGTCAAATCATATTGCTTGATCTACATGTATTTTCATCGAAAAGATATTTTCTGAGTCAGCACTCATCTGCAAGAAAAGTAGCTTCTAAATCAAATGTGCTGGCACCATTTTTCTCAAGCTCTCTTAAATTCTACACATAATTATGAGCAGACAAGTGAAATTTTTGACCTCTGAATGAGTAAATTACCTTCTTTGCTATCTTCGCAATGTTTGACTTTTCAATACAATTTTCAAAATTTTCATGAAAATTAGCATGAATCTTTAGGCATGTAGCCTACTTTAAAGGAACGTTGGTGATTTGTATTATATAAACTGACACCGACAATTTTAAAGCTAGGAAGTTGTCATATTAATTGTAGGATTTTCATTTGACTGAATTGTGAAAAAAAAACACCAAAAACAGAATTTATTAAAATACCTTTCATACTAAGAGATTTCCAGGAATATTTTATATTCCTTCAAACCTTTATCCTTCATTTTAATATCATGATATTATAAAATACCATAATTGAACTCCAATAACATTACTGGCTTTTTTTTTATTTATAATTTAGCAAATGCAAACTTAAAAGAGTAATAACAATTTTGTTTGTTGTGTAAAATCATGACATTGTTGTATCTCTTTTACATTTAAGTGAGACTTAACCAACATTTAGCAAATATTTTCAGAACTTTATTTTAATCATTCCTTTAAACAAGAGGGCCATGATGGCCCTGGGGTCGCTCACCTGAACATAGGCCCCCAGGGCCGGGCCAGTTTAAACCAAAGGGCTTTTATTTGAACAAACTAGGAAGACACCCATTAAAAGATATTTCATGATGTTAAGTTTTTACTATACACAAATAATGAATAACAATGACTTTTGCCCCCTCCCCCCTCTCCCTGGCAGGGCCAATTTTGACCCAAGGGCTTTTTATTTGAACAAACTTGGTAAACATCCATTAGAACATGTTTCATGCTAAATATCTTAGCTCTAGCTCTTTTGGTTCTTTAATAGAAGATTTTTTACTTTTTACTCTATGTATATATAGGGAAAATCAATAACCCCAGGGACAGGGCCAATTTTGACCCCAGGGCTTTATTTGAACAAATTTGGTAGACACCCATTAGAATATGTTTCATGCTAAATATCTTAGCTCTAGCTCTTTAAAAGAATTTTTTTTAAGTTTTTACTATATGCATATAGGGAAAATCAATGACCCCCTGGGGCGGGGCCAATTTTGACCCCAGGCCTTTTATTTGAACAAACTTGGTAGACACTGATAAGAAGATGTTTCATGCTTAATATCTTAGCTCTAGCTCTTTGGGTTCTTTAAGAGAAGATTTTTTTGAGTTTTTACTATATGCACATAGGGAAATCAATGACCCCCTGCGGGCTGGGCCAATTTTGACCCCAGGGCTTTTATTGAACAAACTTGGTAGACATCCATTAGAACATGTTTTACGCCAAATATCTAAGCTCTAGCTCTTTGGGCTTTTTAGAAGAAGACTTTTTAAGTTTTTACTATATGCATATAGGGAAAATCAATGACCCCCTGGGGCGGGGCCAATTTTGACCCCAGGGCTTTTATTTGAACAATCTTGGTAGACACTTATTAGAAGATGTTTCATGCTTAATATCTTAGGTCTAGCTCTTTGGGTTCTTTAAAAGAAGATTTTTTAAAGTTTTTACTATATGCATATAGGGAAAATCAATGACCCCCTGGGGCGGGGCCAATTTTGACCCCAGGGAATTTATTTGAACAATCTTGGTAGACACTCACTAGAAGATGTTTCATGCCAAATATCTAAGCTCTAGCTCTTTGGGTTTTCTAGAAGAAGATGTTTAAAGTTTTTTCTTTTGGTTGCCATGGCAACCAGAGTTCTGCATGGAATGGAATTCTTTGAACAACTTTGTTAAGGCTTCACACAAGGAACATCCCTGTGAAGTTTCATTATGATCTGCCTTATGGTTTCAGAGGAGATGTCGTTTGAAAAGTGTGAACGGACAACGTACGACGGACGACGGACGACGTACGACGGACGACGGACGACGGACGAAGAGTGATCCTAATAGCTCACCCTGAGCATAAGCTCAGGTGAGCTAAAAATATCTTAAAACAGCTTTGGTTTAAACATATTGATTGAGAAACAAGTTCTTGAAACTAAATTATATTAATCACTTTAAAGTCCAGCTTCCTAGAACTAACCAGACTCATTACTGGTGTCATATGAGCCGCGTCACGACAAAACCAACATAGTGGGTTTGCGACCAGCATGGATCCAGACCAGCCTGCGCAACCGCGCAGTCTGATCAGGATCCATGCTGTTCGCTTACAAACCCTATAACAAGAAGTGAAACTGATACCGAACAGCATGGATCCTGATCAGACTGCACGGATGTGCAGGCTGGTCTGGAATTCCATGCTGGCCGCAAACCCATTATGTTGGTTTTGTCGTGACGCGGCTCAAATATTATGAAGAATCGTAGCCGTGACAGGAGTAAAGCTCCAACCCATGATCCCTAGGTTGATATGGCAGACACCTTTAACCACTAGGCCAGTCTGCCATTGCTCCCCTTGGCTTTTAACCCGCCTTTAATATTCAAGAGAACGAGTTACAAAATAAATCAATTTTTTTATTTATTTTTTTTTCAAATAACCATTATCTTAAACATGAAAAATAAAATTTCTATCTCTACCATCTATCTATACAGAGTTATTTCCCTTATCAATTCCCAGCATGCAATGAAAGACTATCACAGTCTCAGCCCAAATTTTGTTTTCCAATCAAATTTATGGCCGTCTTGAAAAAAAAGTTTCTTATTTTCAAAGCCACAGTGATAAAAAAGAAATAAAAAAATGTTTGAACATTATCAGTCAGCCTTTGAGAAAACCAGAACATCTTTTGGGTCTGACATTTTTAGATAAGCGAGAAAGATAGCTATAAATAGTTCGCAGATAGAAAGATAAGGAAAGTGCTTCCATTCTGCCTAAAAACAATGTCTTTATCTTGGTTTTAACCTTTACCAGGCTAAAATATCTTAAATAGACTTTTCCATCTTTTCAATTTGGACATAACCAAGCATTTATCGTTTTTAAGGAAAAATTTCAAAATATTTGCTCAATGCAAATGACTGAAAAGCGTCGGGCAGTGCAGACTATCAGATCATATAGCAAGGTACAGACATGTTGATTGATCTTGGTCTGCCCTGAAGTCACAATGAAGCCACAATTGGGTAGGTTCAGCCAACACCACGCATTAAGGGCAAAGGATTAATAGACACATTATAAAAGATTACACAAGATCTTCTTATAAAGTCTTTCAGACCGTTAGTATGAACGTAAGTATGAAAATGCTACAATTAGTTAAATTTCTCAAAAGCTTTTATTTTCTGGTGCTTATTTTAGATTTTTTTTTATTTACCAGTATTTTTTTTTTATTTTTATTTATTTATTTTTTTTTTTTGGTTAGGTGCTATGTAGCTCCAACACAGTATAGGTCATATGGCGAATTTCCAGCTAGCTTTACTGGTGGAGGAAGACTTCAGGTGCCCACCTGTGCATTATTTCAGGCACAAACGGACACCTGATTAAAACCACTAAAGCAAGCTGGATAGCTTTCTCACATGAAAGAAACCAAAAAGCCCCTGCCGGTACTTCATGACAATTAACAAAGTTACAACGAACATGATTGTATCAAACAAATAAATTTTTTCAATATTAAAATATATTAACATAAATCTATAATTATATTCTCAAAACATACTTATTATTATTGCTTAATCCACGCTCAGAGTATGCTGAAAAAGCCGAATATATATAGATACCGCTCATCATTGGGCTTCCATAAAACAAAACTGACCACCTTCAATAAAACAAAACTGACCACCAACTACACTAATCATCGGCACCAGACACAGGCCACAATTACTAATTAGCATAATTAACAAATCTCTGATGAGTATACATGTAAACTATAGGTATCTATACCTGCATGTAGATTACTACCAAATTTCTGCGTATTTTCATTCCCGCAGAAACTCTACTATGATACACTTTTACATCTATCATTGGCTAATGAAACATGTAAAAGCCGAGTGATGCATACCAGATGCCGGCCAGAGGAAACCACCTTACAGCAATAACTCAACTCATTTATTGGTTTTAGAGAGGATCTTGTCAAGGGATTAACTTATTACCCTTTCTCTTTTATATATAATATATATACTTTCATCTGGTTAAAGACTCCCTCACAACAGCGTAAAACTCCAGAACATAAACAGCAGGTGTCATATTTATGGATTTTAAGGATTCACACTTCTGAGAAATAAAATATCTACATGATCCAAACTTCCTTGACCAAATGAATAAAAATCTAAACCACAGCTACTGATACTTTGATAACATGTGAAGTTATTGAATTTGTTGAAAAAAAACTCACCTATTTTCATATTCACCACCATCAGGGCTGGAATTTCCAAGAACTATGAATTTTTCAGAATGAAACCTGCTGCTGTCTTCTGGAGATGTCCGATGACCTTGTTTGACCTCTTGTTGTGACCTTGAATGTTTACCCTGCCTTGACCTTTTGACCTCTGGTGAGGCAGGATTTGGAGGAGACTGGTTTAATGATTGTATCAGATCGAAAATGTTAGCCTGGTATTCCTCTGGTGATACGTAGGAACCAGTCAATGAATGGTTTGATGTTTGAGTTGTGCTGGATGCATAACCGGCTGGCAACATGTCCTCTACAGGGAATTTAGGGACCATTGTCATGTTTGTCAATGTACTGGCGGTCATGTTGTACGTTGCAGTTGAAGAGTCTGTCTTTTGTGAATCTGACGGTGAAGGTATATCTCGGTTATGCCGTTCTATTGCTCGTAATTCCACATGTGCCCCATCTTTTGTCCTAACCCATACATGACCTTGTAAGTTCACAGGACTCCCAACAGGTGACCTTCTTACGCCCAACCTATCTGGGCTTTGAGAAACTTTTCGTAACTCTACTCGGGAACCACCTTTAGTAGCTGGTACCCAGTATTCCTCTTGCAATGAGACTGACCTTGGCATTATGATTATTTCTGATCCTGGGCTACCATCAAACCCTTCTTGGAACACTTCAATTACTTGAGGACTAACCTTCCCATCAGAACCTGGACGATTTTCACCATCTGTCAAGTTTTTCTGAGGTGACCTTCTTGTATTTGGAGCAGAATTCATTCGTTCTAGAGTTTTGTTTTTTCTTTTAGTTCTCGGACTTGTTGCATAACCCTGCCATTGTATATCCTTTTGTGCAGTTTTAACATCTTTGTCCTTTTCTGATGTTAAATCTATCTCTGATTCACCTTCAGTAGTTGGCAAGTCTTGTAATGATAAGTCCTTAGGTCGATCTTTGTGCCTATTTCTTGGCAGAGTATTGTAAAAATTAGTCCAAAATTTATCTTTCGACATCGCCAATTCTTGCTCAGTGGTTCCGGTGGGAAGTGTTCCAGATGCACTTCCTTTATAAACTCTTGGTCTGAGTGATGTTGAAACATTCATATTTGTATCAGGATTTCCGAAAGTTTCTGACCTTGAACCGACAGCCTCTAGACTTCCCGCCTTTTTCCCTTTGCGTAAACTCCCCTCGAAAGTGTCCTGTATTTTCTCACGAAAGCTTCGAGACCCCTGAACTTTTCTCGAAGGTCTAACATCTGTAAGGGAGCCCCTTCTTTTTAGGGAAGCCAAATTATGAGGCCTTCCATGAGAGCCATCGGGTTTACGCTCCTTCACTTTACTTTTAGGACTAGCACACTGTCCTAGAGCCGCCAGCCAAGACATTATCCAACTATTTTTACAAGCATTCCATTTTTATCACAAAATCATTGCGCACATCAAGAATCAAACATTGTAATCAACAGCAAAAAAACACAACAAAAAAGCACTCACAGTATTCTAGGCTCTACTGCCTTACATATAAATCATCCTTACAGAATAAAAAACACAAAACGCCATTACTTTGAATCAAAAACCAGCATAACAAACATCCATACTTCCTCAAGAAAATAAAAATTCCATTGAGAAACCTTTACAACTGTATCTTCCTAATAAATCAAAGACTCATAAACAGTGTGTTCCTTGTGCTTTAGATTATTATCTCATTATCAGTTTGGTATGAAAATAATACTCCATCTATACTCCTATACATCCCTATTACAGCCAAGAATAAAAGCATCACAATAGGTAACTCTTCACTGTTGGAGTACCAATCACCAGGTGTGCAACTTTTCTACCTTCTGATTTTGAAGAGTACTCAATACAAAGATCAAAATTTCTGTGGTGTAACTGCCTTTTTTTCTGCGCAGGCAGCATTGAATTTAACTGTTCATAAAAAAATTACCTTCGGCTAATGACTCTGTCATTACTTAAATGAAATAATACGATCTTAAGATTAAATAAAATTCAAACCTTCGGTCGAAACTTTACAAAAGTCACGAATAAAACTATCAAAAATGCTAAGCCTCCCTCGAACCTGATATCATATTCATTCATATTTTTCTTTTATCATACGTTTATATCCATTTTAATGAACATATTTAATCCTATGCCAAACTTTTATGTAACTTCGCAACAACAATCCACGAATCTAGCCAGAAAGATCACTATCCAAAAATCACTACGGTTCTATTTTAAGCAGTTAATGTATATCAATAGTGGAGGGAACCGACTCTGTAGTTTTGCCTTCCTTGATCTAAGAAAATTAAGCCGGCAAAAAAAAAAATTAGTTCTTCAAAATGTTGGTTGGCATGGCGTTTTAAAAGAATCCAGGTGAAATACAGGAGGTAATGCGGCTGTGTAGAATACATTAGACAGATAGTAGTATCATCCAGATATCTAACGTTGATAGTTCTTAAAACATACTCACCGTGGATCGCATGTGCACATCACTAAGATTAACGCAAAAAAAAAAAAAATTCAGGCTTTATCAAAAACCAACACCCAAGATACTGTATTTTAAACAAATGGGGAAAAAAATTGATTTTTTTAAAACAAATTCATGTAACCATTTTTTTCTTATTCTTTTAATTGAGTTTATCTTAATTTTAAAGGTAAATCAATTTTTTTTTCCCCCATTTATGCACCCATTTTCAGTAAAAAAAAAATATGCCTTTATTATGAATATAGTTTATATTCTGTTATTTCATCATCATTTCTAAGGTTAAGTACTTTTTCCAGGTGTAGCACAAAATTGTAAATATGAGTTTTTTCAACATTTAGTTTAATTCAATTATTTTATAATTTATAGTATATTTAAGTTTTAACTTATAATGACAATGAAATCTAAAATAAAACAGTGCACCTGCTGAAGAACTAAATTTAGATAATTTTTTATGTTTTTCGGTTAAACCTATAACACCTCACATCAATTATCAATCACCCAAAATGCTAAATTACCCAAAATGCGAAATTACCCAAAATGCTTAATTACCCAAAATGCACTTCTGCATCCTGTGTATACTGTGTCAAGTACTATATTTTAACAGCGTGTCAGATAAATTTATTCTCACAAATGATTAAAAAATTATCATTCATGCATTTAAGTTACTATTATGCATGTAGTACATTAAATTAATAAAATTAAAATCCCATCCTCTCTCCTTAACATAATAAAGAAATATCATGAGCTCTTTAAAAATGCAATGATCTATCAAAGTATGTACAATAATATGACAATGACTAATTAAAGGAACTCCACTGAGGTTAAAATTAAGCCTTAAAACATAAAATTTGAATTTCTTACATAATTATATCAGCTGGGGCACTTAAAACAAAATGATGATAATACAAAAGATGATAATGAAATATACTAAGAAATAAATTGAAAATCATATTTTTGTGCTTATATAGTCAGATCTGTTTCAATTTTGGGTCATTTTTCATAATAAGAATAATTATTCTGGAAAAACGGAGTTAGAAAATGATCAGAAATTTTGCACACAAATTATTGGTCTAGACCTGACTGGAACATTGTAATATCAAAATTTTATTTCCAGTCCCAATTCACATCAAAAACCTCTGTTGGATCCCTTTAAGACTTGAAAGATTTTAATTTTAGAATAAAATATATAGCAACACATTACAAATATCTCTTTTTTTTCTTTGATTTAAATTATCGTATACAATATTTTGTAGTTCCAATTTTATAATCATTTGTTGTTGTTGCTGCTCTTGTTGTTTGTTAAATGTTATTTTTAAGTTAGATGTAATTTTCAAGTTAAATGTAAGTTTAAAGTTCAATGTAATCATAAGTTAAATGTAATTTATAAGTTTAAAATACAGTTTTAAAGTTAAATGTATTTAAATTTTAAGTTAATTATAATTTTAAAGTTAAATGTAGTTTTTAGGTTAAATGGAAAATTTAAGACTCTTTTTCACAAAATTATGAGTTAAATTCTCTCTATACAAACAATTTGAATGGTGTGTAATTTTTATGATGATTTAACTTAACAGAAACCTTTTCACATTTTTACAACAGGCATATCATTCCACTTGATTATTTCAGCGAAGCAATTATTACTGGAAGTGTGTTGTACATTTTTACATATGTTCCTACAGCAATTAGCACCTTGGTTGATTACCTGAGCAGTAAGTCATAGAAAATATGTACCTCATCAAATATACTGATATGCCTATTCAATACAGCATCAAATTAACATTTTCTCATTATCAACATCAGCAGAAGCAAAAGAAGGCTTAATATGAAAGGTACGAAAATAGAAAGTCAATACCATTGGTATATTTATCCTTATATACCATCATTGTTTTTTTTATTTATTTTGTTTAATTGCTTCAAAAGTGTAAGCAATTACATTTGGTTTACTTGCTTGCCATAATTGTTTCAAAAAAATAAGCAATAGCATTCTGTTTACTTGGTTGCCATAATTGTTTCAAAAGTGTAAGCAATAACATACAGTTTACTTGCTTGCCATATTTTTTTTTCAATTTAAAGTGTAAGCCATTACATCAGGTTACTTGTTTGCCATAATTGTAATTGTTTCAAAAGTGTTTGTCATTGCATTCACTTTAGCTTGCTTGCCAATTATAAATTGTTTTAAAAGTGTAAGTCATATGCATTTGGTTAACTTGCTTGTCATAAATATTTCTAAAGTGTAAGTCATTGCATTAGGTATACTAATGTTTCAAAAGTGTAAATGGTATATTTGCTTACCACAGATGTTGTAGAAGTGTTTCATATAATTATAAAAACATTATAAACATAATTATGGGAAATAGTGTTTTTTAGAATATTTTTGCAAATAAAGCAATATATGTCAGAAAGTCAGTATCAGGAATTTCAGCAAACATATTAGGAAGTGTCATATTCACTGAACACATCTGTATTGTATGGACTTAGCACCCAACGATTACAACACTAATAAACAAAACCTATCAACCATTCTTTCCCAATTACAAATAACCTAAACAAAATGAGCCATCCACTAAACTAGAATAAGAAAGTTATGTGTGTATTACCAACCTAAGTTTCACCTTCATTAATTGACTGCAATGTTATTATCTATTTTTTTTTGTTTCCTTTATTCTGTAAACCCTAATGTTTCTAACAATGAATCATACAAGAAGAAATCATGTAAAATAATTACATTGTATTATGATTACAGCATTTTATCAATTATTGATAAGGTTTTTAAATGACATTCTAGAGTGACCTTGACCTTTACTTACAAGATCTTACAGAGGTGCAACTTGTTAACTAAATCAGTATTTTATGAACTAGTATAGTATAATATTGGATAGAGATGCTGTGCATCAAATACCATTGCAGAGTGGTGTAAAATCAATCCATTTTTAGAAAGAAAAGATAGCTAAAAATTAAATTGTTTTACAATTTAATTATAATGCCATGACCTTTACATATGACCTTGACCTTATGTGTCACATCTTATGTAAGGTAATCTTCTGCAAACTAAGAAATGCTTCAGCAGCTCTTTAACCAATTATCATTCTAATAAAAGACAAACCACATATTATGTGCATGACCTTGACCTGTAAATTAAGTCAAAGGTCAGTATGGCAGCAAAAATTATATCTAGTAATTAAATTAGTCCTAGTCAATACAAAGTGTACAATAAAGCCAAATACATGATAAGCACTGCAATTATTAATAATAGTTAATAATATATGCATAAATTATAAACATATAAAAAATTTGACCTTGACCCCTAACTGACCGACTGATTTAGCTGGACTGCTAATCAAACTTTCTTTTATGTGCATTTTTTTGCACTGCACAATTATTTGCATATACAGAAAAAACATAATGATAAGCAGATGGGAATCTGATGCCAAATCTTCATCAATGCATGTCTTGCTAAATAACATCACCTACACAAAATGAACAAGTCAAATATATTCTCTCAGGCAACAGCAACAGCTTAAACGTTTGGATATTCAGACCTCTTGTAAGCCCTGCCCAATGCAAAGAAAGCCAGATACAGAAGCCCAAGGGTTTGTTGTTAAGATTTTCCCCTAGCAATTTTTGTGCCCAAACAAAAACCATGATAATCTGACCCTGTGGTGCAGGGAAAAGAAGCAAATTGACTCATTTCCCCTGCCAGGTCCCTATGAGTACCCCATGGTTGGGGAGGGGAAAGGGAAGGACCTAATGACAATAAACTGTCAATAAAATACTGTTTCACATTTTACATAGTAAAATTTAATGTATATTTGTAAGATAAAAATACTTGCTAAAAAATGTTGACTAGATAGCATTCTAAATGAACAGGCTCTTTATACCTAAAACTTTCAAGTTTTGTGTTTAAAGAACACCTGTTTATAAGCAACTATAGATGTCTTTAACTTACAATTACATGCAAGGAAATAAAATCATTATAATGTTCCATCAATAATCATATTCTCATATTTATGATACATTCATTTATACTGTAATGGTTAAGGTCCATTAAAATTTGCACATTTTTTTAATCTTATTTCCGAAATCAATTTAATATGCATTCCAGTGAATTAAAGGGAGATAATCAACTACTGCGAAATACATGTAATTATCGATTTAAGATTTAATGTTAATATATAAAATTATCGTGTACACACATTTTTTTAATCAATTTAATATGCATTCCGGTGAATTAAAGGGAGGTAATCAACTACTGCAGAATAATCATTTATTTCATTATCTTTTAAACTTATTTCCGTAATCAATTTAATAAGCATTCCAGTGAATTAAAGGGAGGTAATATCAATTTAGTTTTATATATAACAAATTATATGTAAAAGCATTGATGCTCTTGGTATAATTATAATTTTTACATCTGGTATTTCACTCCACAGTAATGTATAATATGAGCCGTGTCATGACAAAACCAACATAATGGGTTTGCGACCAGCATGGATCCAGACCAGCCTGCGCATTCGCGCAGTCTGATCAGGATCCATGCTGTTCGCTTATCAACTATATTACAGGTGGAGAAACTGACAGCGAACAGCATGGATCCTGATCAGACTGCGCGGATGCGCAGGCTGGTCTGGATCCATGCTGGTCGCAAACCCATTATGTTGGTTTTGTCATGACACGGCTCATATCATGACTTATCATAAAACAAGAAAAGCTATATTTTCATAAAAATATAGAGACATATAAAATTTTGCTTACAGAAATGGTGCTTACAGTCTTACAACATCAGTTACCTGACAATACTTTTTTCCTTTTTTTC